TAGAAGCAGACAGCCTCATCTTTCTCCCTTGGAGTGGCCACTGGGTTTGAACTATCAACCTTTCAGTTGGTCAAACACTTAGCCAGTGCACCACCAGGGCTCCTTTAGAGACCGTTGCAAAACAAACAAGCCCACTGCCTTCAAGCTGGTCCCATTTACAGCAACCCTGAGACCAAATCATAATAATGGTAAGCAGATGGAGTCATCTTCCTCCCAAGGAGAAACAACTGACCTTTCAGTTAACAGCTGAATTCTTTAATCACTGCACCACCAGGACTCCCTTTCACCCCTAGTTGTCATTGTGTTTTCCCTGTACTTGCCCTTTCCTCTAAGTGAGCACATGCAGTGTCTACCCATTGTGACATGTCACTCAGCCACATCTTTCCAAGCATACAGAGACTTCTCAGGCGGTGATACTTCATTGCATGCGGGTCAGAACACATTCCTGTGTTCTGGGACATTCTGGTGGACATTCTGGAAGTTCCCATGTTTTGCTGTTGTGAATGGTACTGAGACATACACAGGAAGGCAGTTTTAACTGCATAGGCTTTGAGTTCCAAGCAAATCCGTTTCCAGAATCTGGTTTTCAGAGTCTTTGTTCTTCCTGTAGTGGGATTCTGGGTGCTTGGAGTCTAGCTCCTCATAACCCAAGTGGGTATGTCACTGTCCTGGCCTCAGAGTGGGCGGCTTCAACTGGCAAATATTCTAACAAATCAGAGTGTCAGCTATCCATCCCTCCCTCCTGAGACTCCTCCTGGCTCCTGCCCCCCCCAGCCATTCTTGGCTTCATGATTGTGTAAAGATGCAAGTCTAGAGGGAGTTCTGGTGGCCTAGTGGCAAGAAGCTGCACTGCAATCCCAGAGGCGCATGGTTTGAATCCACCAGATGCTCTCCTGGAGAAGGAGGGGCAATCTCCTCCTGTACCAGTCAGATCTGATGGTACATGCACAAAAATTAATAACATAAAAATTAATTTTTTAAAAAAAGAATATTTACAGAGAATAAAGAGGGGGAAACTCCATCAGTTAAAAAAATGCAGGTCTATTTGGTGTCTGAGAGAATAATTTCTTTTAAAAAAAATCAGTCTCCACACCCATATTTATTGCTGCATTATTGACAATGGCAAAGAGATGAAAGGACCAAAGTGCCCATCAATAAACAAATGGATAGAAAAACTATGATATAGTCACACAATGGAATATTATGCAGCACTGAAAAACAATGAACTCATAAAATATTACACAACATGACTGACCCTGGAGGACATTATGCAGAGTGTAAGATCTCAGTCAAAAAAAAGGATATATACTATATACCACTACTGTTATAAAGCAGGTCTGACATGAGAAGGTTGGGCTGAGAATAGGAAAAGGGTTGATAGATAATGAACACTACTGCATTGGAGCATATGAAGGAAAGAACTGTTTAAAAGGAATATATGATTAGGCATTATTTGTATGACAAGAGTCCCGAATAAGAGATGCATAGCAAAGTGAACTGGGGGAGGGGTGGAGGAATGTGCAACAGTGAATGAATGAAAATCTAACTTTTCTGTAAACTTTCATTAAAATCACAACTAAAATTTAAAAAAATTCATTATTTAAAAAAAAAAGTCCTTATGAAGCAGAGGTTAAACCCATTGCAATCACTGATTTGCTTCCAACTCATCGCAACCTTTCATCAGGCTTCTGAGCCTGTCAGCATCAAAGAGAGGAGACTTCCCGTCTTTCTCCCTCAGAGCAGTTGGATACTCAGACCACTGATATTTCAGTTAGCAGCCTGGCACATAACAAACTACACGACAAAGATGGTACCTACACCACAAAGCTGGTTCCTACGAGGCAGATGTCCCAAATGTCCACTTTTTACAAATGGCTGCACCACTCCATCACCTCTGACATCAGTGACATGCCTCCTCTCAGCATTCTCCCTCCCGTCTTCATCTTTGAGTTTCATAATTCGCTGCCACAACTCACAGAAGTTCACATACCCACAGGGAAACAAGTCTCAGATCTGCAGGTCAAATGTCAGGCTGGAGGCCTCTCCTGACTCAGGGGGCCAGAGGGGTTGATGAACCAGTCAGCAGATGGGATGACAGGCTGCTGGCTCAAGAGCCAGGGGTTGGATGATGATGATGATCCAAGTGTAGATCCAAAGCAGGAGGGAGAACCTTCCAGAGCATCTCTGTATACCAGGTGCAGACCACACCCTGACTTGGGCAAAAAAAGGGTGAGGGTGGTGACTGGGGAGAGGCTCTGGTAAGGCAGTGGTGTGAAGCAACATCCTTCCCTAGTCCTTCCTCATTATCATTAGCATAACCAGCAGCTCACTCCCAAATGGTACTACAACCACTGGCATCCAAAAACTCAACACCTGCTGCCACCGAGTTGATTCTGACTTATTTTGGTCCTCCATCAGCTTTCTTAGGCTGTCTTTTCAGGAAGCTATACAATATCGTGTTACAGTGAAAAGTGCAAGGAGCTGGAGTCAAAAAATCAAAAGGGCCAAACTCGCTCAGCATTTCTTAAGATGAAGGAACTGAAGAACAAATTCAAACCTCAGTTGCAATACTTAAGGATGCAGAATATTAAATGATCCAGGAAGCATTAAAAGAAGATGGAAAGAGTATACAGAGTCATTGTACCAAAAGGAATTGGTGGACACAGAAGTATTTCATGAAACAGCGTATGAGCAAGAGCCTGTGGTGATGAAAGAGGAAGTTCAATTTGCTCTGAAGGAATTGGCAAAAAACACCCCAGGAATTGATGGCATGCTGATTGACATATTTCAACAAACAGATGCTGCCCTGGATGTGCTCACCAGATTATGCCAAGGAACTTGGAGGATAACCACCTGGCCTACTGACTGGAAGAGATCTGTATTTGTTCCCATTTCAAAGAAAGGTAGCCCAACAGAGTGTGGAAATTATCAAACAGTATCATTGATATCACATGCAAGCAAGATTCTACTGAAGATCATCCAAAAACGACTGGAACAGCACATCAACAGAGAACTGCCTGAAGTGCAGGCTGGATTTAGAAGAGGCCGTGACACTAGGGATATTATAGCTAATGTCAGATGGATTTTGGATGAAAGCAGAGAGAACCAGAGGCATGTCTCTTTGTGTTTCATTGACTATGCAAAGACATTTTGTAGATCATAACAAAATGTGGCTGACTCTGAGAAGAAAGGGAATCCAAGAACACTTGATTGTGCTTATGTGAAACTTATACTTGGACCAGGAGGCAGTCATCAGAACAGTGCAAGGAAACACTGCATGGTTCAAAATTGGGAAGGGTGTGCATCAAGGATGTGCCCGATCTCCACATCTTTTCAATCTGTATGCAGAACAGATTATCTGGGAGGCTGGTCTCTATGAGGAGAAGTGTAATATCAGGATTGGAGATAGACCATCAGTAATCTGCATTATGCAGATGGCACAACTCTGCTTGCTGAAACTGAGGAGGACCTGAAGTGCTTGCTGCTGAAGGTCAAGGACTTCGCCTTCAATATGGATTGAAGCTCAACATCAAGAAAACAAAGTTTCTCACCACTGGGCCAATTGGCAGCATCAGTATGGATGGTGAAGAGATTGAGATTGTTGACAGCTTCAGTTTGCTTGGCTCTATAATCAGTGCTCTCGGTACCAGCAGCCAGGAAATTAAAAGATGAATTGCATTGGGAAAGTCTGCTGTCAGAGACCTCTCCAAGGTAATGAGGAGCAATGATGTCAGTCTGGAGACTAACGTTACGCCTGGTCTTTGGAATTACTTGCTATGCATCAGAGAGCTGGACAATGACTAGGGATGATAGAAGGAAAGTGGATGCTTTTGAGCTTTGGTACTGGAGAACAGTATTGAATATACCATGGACTGCTAGGAGAACAACCAAATTCGTCCTGGAGAGGGTGATACCAGTCTGCTCCTTGGAGGCCAGGATTCTGTAGCTCCATCTGACATACTTTGGACGTGTTGCAAGGTGGGATCAGTCCTTGGAGAGGGACATCATGCTTGGGAGGGTGGAGGGACAGTGCACGAGAGGAAGACCCTCTATGAGATGGATTGATTCCGTCACTGGGGTCATGAAAACAGACATGTTGGAGACAGTAAGATTGGCAAGGGTTTAGGGCTGTTGTACATAGGATCGCTGTGAGTTGCAAGTGACTCGTTGGCACATAACAACAACATACAATACCTCTAGAAAGGAAGAGCCGAGTCAGATCATGATGTAACTGTCAGACACTGAGAATCTAGACCCAGACGAGCTGACACAGCCCTAAGCAGCAAAGGCTTGATGTTCCTTATGTGAATTAGCTGCAGGCTGTCCAGTCCCCTCCTTAGGCCACAAGCACCTTCTTTGCATGGCCCACCCACTCATTACGTGGGAGTCACAAAGACCTTCACTTGAAGGACCATCCTGAATAACTTACTGCATCTCAGAAATACTGTATTTTCTTGCCCAAGTAAGGGTGTGGTCTGCACCTGGTATACCGCGATGCTCTGGAAGATTCTCTCTCCTGCTTTGGATCTACACTTGGCTCATTGTCATCGTCATCATCATCTGACCCCTGGCTCTTGAGCCAGCAGCCTGTTATCCCACCTGCTGACTGGTTCATCAACCCCTGTGACCCCCTGAGTTAGGAGAGGCCTCCAGCCTGACATCTGGCCTGTGCATCTGAGACTTGTTTCCCTGTGGGTATGTGAGCTTCTGTGAGTTGTGGCAGCAAATTATAGAACCCAAAGAGGAAGACAGGAGGGAGAACACTGAGAATAGGTGTGCCACCGATGTCAATAACTCGTGTATCTCCCCTGAATGTGACGGCCCTGTCCCTACTTGTCAGACCTGAGTCAAGACCCACATTGCCCTTGTCCAACCTCATTAACTTCACCAACCACAAAAGAAAAACTGTTTCCCGATCAATCCCTTCAGCGTAGCCTCATGTGGACTCACCACCTGTGACAGCCTGGCCACATGGTGACCGAACCTATTCTTCTCCATAGGGGCTGATCAAGGTCCGGGGTGACCGGTGCTGGTGGGACCTGACGTGCATGGACTACCACTACGAGGTGAGTGTAGCCGTGGGTCTGGACATGCTGAGCAGGGCATGGTGCTCCAGCTCAGCCACTGCCTATTCACCTGGGGATGTGGCTTCCATACACCTTCCCTCAGCAGCCACAGCTCTGTTAGACCAGCCCTCGACCTCTTGTGAGGGTCACGAGGTGTCCACGGAATACATGCATGTGGTGGGCTGTAAGATAGACTGTTCACAGACCGGACTCTGCTCGCTGCCAAGTTGGGACAACATGGAGTCCACAGGTCTGCCTCTGGAAGTAGCTCATAGGGCACCCTGAAAGCACAGTGGCCATGTGCCATGGTCCGCAGAGAAACTGCCCCTGGCGCTGTATATGTATCCCTGCTCAGGGCCCTCATCCACCTCAGCTCAGTCCCGGCCCTATAGAGGCTCCCTGGGGCCTCCATGTGTGCTGCCTGATGTAGCACCAGCCCTCCTGCTGTGGGCAGCCTGGCCAGAATGTGTCAGAGGGACACATGAACCCTGTTCTTCCTGCTGAGGGAAGTTCACTGGAGATGAGTTGGAAACCCGCAGGGACCCTATGCCAAGTCAGAAGGACCAAGTAGGCCTGGCCCAAGATAGTTAGGAGGTAATTCGTGGGTGGCACACCAGTCTGAGATGGCCACCACTCAGACTACGTAGCTTCTGGGCTTGCTTGTTCAGAGTGAAGCCAATGGCTGTGACTGTACCTCATGAGGAGGGTGGCAGGTGAAGAGGTGTGGCTTGTCCTAGAACCTAACTTGTGTGGGAGGGTGGTAAGAAATGGGAGATTGAGGATGGGGACCTACACAGTAGGAAAGGTCAGTCCTCCAAGAGGGAGGCACCTACCTGGCTGTTGTGAGGGAGGGGTCAGAGCCTGATTCACCTGACAGGATGGAGCAGTGTCCTTCCTGTAGCCCCGGCCAGGAAATTGGTCCCCAGGGTTGGCCCTGCCGATTGATCACCTGTTCTCAGGATGAGGGGAGGTCAGGGGTGGTTTAGGTGGCATAAGGTGGACCTCTGGTTAACCTTCTGGCTGGGGGTGCCCATGCGGGCAGGAGGTGTGAGCCTGAGATCGCTTCTGGAGCTGTGTGGCCACTGGTCAGTGCATCGTGCCCCTGTAGTGTGTGGGGTGGATAGGTTGCTCAGTAGACATGTCCCCGGGACCAGGGCACCATTGGGCCACCACCTCTCCCTGTGTTCCCAGCTGACCACTGTTGTGCTCCAGCTTGTCTGTCATGACCGCTGGGCCTCGGACCCTTTAGCATGCTGTGTGACCCCGAGCAGGAACCCCCAGCATTACCCCTCAGGGTCAACCCTCAGAGCTCCTCTGTGTGCCTGCTCAGTGTTGAGTAGTTACAGCTGTTTGATAAACCGTCCTCAGTCAGGACATCTTGGAGGAAGAGAGATGATGACACACTGTCAGGCTGTGGGCAGGTTTATGTCTGTCCAGTCAGCTTTAAATGCACTCCAGGAAACACTACAGGAAGGTGTGGAAGTGACCAGTCTTACTGAATTACTGCATCTCAGCTGGGCCTGAAACTTCTTCTGCACTGGACACCATGGTCAGACAAAAGTCTCACCCCACAGCCCCATAGGCAAGTTGTAATGTGAATCTGAGGTCACTAAGCTGTATCATGTGCTGGGCTGATAACCAAACAGATTATGGTTCCATGGGACAAAGGTCACCAAGTACCCCAGGCTCTGAGTGCCTCAGAGCACTGGTCAAAGAGCTCTGATCTCTAGCCCTCACTCTGAAACCAGAAAAGTAGCAGGACTGAAAAACATTTCTAGTGGGAGCAAATGGAAGCAGGAGACAGGAAATCAAGATATACTACATTGAACAAATCTGCTACCAAGAACTTCTTTAAAGTGCTAAGGAGCGAGGATATAATTTTGAAGACTGAGGTGCACCTGACCTATGCCACGGTATTTTCCATTGCCTCACATGCGTGTGAAAGTTGGGCCATAAATTCTTTACAACACTTTTGTTGTTGTTTTATTTATATAGAGATAGAGATAGATATATATATTCTTTTTTTTTGTATTAAGCGTTCAATCTCCCCCTATCTTCAGCCTCTGAAAACCTGCTAGAGGGTCAGCAATGGGTCAGTTCCAACTCGATGGCACACAACAACATTAAGTGTGTTGTCACTCACTCACTCACTCACTCACTGTTGTTGATTTCAGCTCACAGAGACCCTGCTGTGGATCTCTAAGGCTGTAAATCACACAGGAAAAGGGTGCTTATCTTTCTCTCGGAGTAGCTGGTGAATTTGAACTTCCAGAGACTTGTAGCCCTTGGGGTAACGGCACAGTTCGCTACGGAGCCACCAGACCTCCCCATGTGCAATAGCATGACAGAAATGTTTGAGGTGTGACGGGATTGACCAACATGTCATGCAGAGACATGAAATGAACACATGTTCTGGAGAGAACAGCACCTGCAAACTCACTCCAGGCTGGGCTGCACAGAATGTAGATTTTTAAAAATGCATCAAAGTAAGATTTGCTTGTACTCTGGACCTGTGTTTGCTGTCCCGCCCCAGGTGTAAGAAGACAGCTGCAGCTTGGAGGGAAGCAGGGTGCAGATGGTTTTGATACAAGAGCGAACAAGGATGGACTTGAGTCAGCTGACCCCCAAAGTAATAAAACAGTGACGTAGGTTTCTGCAGGGCTGCAGAAAGAGCACAGCACTACCTTGGGTTCTGCAGATAAGCCAAGTGCGGGGAAACCCCTTTCTGCCTAAACTAGAGGGCTATTTCTCCGTAGGTCTGAGTCATGTCTGGGTCCCACACTGGGCTTGTGTACCCCTAGGCACACCCACAGGCGTGCCCAGGACCTGAGTCTGTCTATAGAAGCAGCATTTTTGTTCCTGGGGTCAAAGCCGTGTCTCCAGTGAATGATGGTCCTCGGTCCTGGAAGGATGCTTTGCAGCATCCAAGTCCCGCCGCCCCAGACAGCAGCGTGTACTGCAGTCAGCACGGGGACCCCCTCACCTATAGACCCCTGACGGACATTCTCAGTGGTAGGCATCAGAGCTGCAGATGGACAGACATCTTCATCCAGCCTCAGAGGCCTGAGGTGGCACAGAGTCAGCTGGATTGTCAGAGTAGAACCGAGATACCTGACACCTGCGCCACCTACCGTGAACGCATGGTTATGACTCTTTGCAATCAGGTGTGACACAGCACACCATTCCAGGAAGCAGGTGTTTGGAGCCTGGCACCTTATCCTGACGTGAGCACCAGATACACAGATGCACACTGCTCACAAGTTAATTCTGATGCCTGACAACCCTCTACCAGGTTTCTGAGGCGGTAAGTCTTGATGGGAGGACACCCTCATCTTTCTCCCACAGCAGCTCGTGGATTGAAGCAGCTGGTAGATTCGAGCAGCTCATGGATTCAAACTACTGGCCTTTTGGTTAGCAGCCCAGATACATTGTCCCTCCAGGGCTCTTTGGCATGTGACTAGAGCTAAGTAACTCAGGTCCGATGGCATGGTTGCCCACTTTTGACACGTTATCAGATGCAGGCAGCCTTTGTTTTACTTTGCAGGTCCTGCATTCTGTGCAAATGGCAGGTTTGTGGCAACTCTACATCAGGCGTGTCCATAGGTGCCACTTCTCCAACAGCACATGTCACTCTGAGTCCATTCTCAGTGTCCCAGGCTTCTCATCGTGCTCTTGTGCGCTCCGTAGACTAAGTACAGGGCCAGCACTTAATTGTGCTCACACGGAATCTGTGCATGAACCAAGAAACAGTGTTCAAACAGAGGAAGGGGGCGCTGCATAGTTTAAAAGAAGGAAATGTGTGTCAGGCTTGCGTCCTTTCTCTGTACCTCTTCATTCCCTATGCTGAGCAGGTAATTCAAGACTCTGGACTCTGAAGAAGAAAGTGGCATCAGGATTGGAGGAAGACTCATCAACAAGCTATATTATATTGATGATACAACCTTGCTTACAGAAAATGAAGCACTTACTGAAGAAGATCAAAGACTTTAATATGGATTGAATCTCAACATCAAGGAAAAAAAAATCCTAATGACTAGGCAGTTGGTAACTGCATTATAAAAGGAGAAAAGAAGAGATTAAAATTCTCCGGGGTTTCATTCAACTTGATCCACAACCAACACCCATGGAAGCAGCAGGCAGGAAATCAAATGACCTATTGCACTGGGAAAATCTGCTGTCAAGGGCCTGTTTAAAGTGCTAAAGAGCAAGCATATCACTTGGAAAACTAAGGTATATTTCATGCAGTCCACAGTAGTTTGTTGCCTCCGCTGATTCTAATCACTTTCAACTAACCAGAGAGTAGAGCTGCCCAGGAGGGTTTTCAGGGCTGTAATCTTTACAGAAGCAGGCTGCCTCATCTTCTCTCAAGGAGTAGGTGGTGGTGGGCTTGAACGTATGACTTTGAGAGCTAGCAGATGCGCACTTTAGCCACTGTACCACCAGGACTCTGTCATCTCCTTTTAGAGATGCAAATTGAACATTGTTCCTGAGGTGTTGGGCTGGTCAGACGCCCTCCTCACCCCAGCAGCCTCTCCACACTTCATCATTGTGGTCATCATCGTCTAACATGCCCCAGGGCCCCCACTCAGGGCAGCCTGGCTCTGAGTTTTATAGGGTGTGAAGCTGTGGCCACCAGACCTCACATCGGGGTTTCCCCTCCGGCTCTAGTGCAGACAAAACAAAGCCTTGTCCCTGATTTGCAGGGGAAGGGCAGTGGAGCTGTCCCCCATGTTGCATCACAGGCTGCCAGGCAGGGTGGGTGAGACTCCTGAGATCTCTGCTCACAGCAGATGGCCACTGCATGCCGCCCCCCAGCAGATCGTAAATCTTCAGGAGCAGCGCCAGATAAAATTTTCCTCAACTAGGGGCGCAGCCTCCCTCGGTGGAACCTTCTGGAACATTTGAGGAGATGGCTAGGATTATAAACCCAGAGGACAGCCAGGCCAGTGACCAGTGAGTGTGCCCCGTCTCCTGTACCCGCTCCCCACCCCCGCCGTGTTCGTCAGAGCAGAGTGGGACAGCATGGGGCTTTCAGATCCTCCGCCTTCCTTCTTAGTTACCTCGCGGAGGAGTCAAAACTGCCAGCCTCCGACAGCAACCATATCTACTCACCACTTGTACCATGAAGGCGTCCACCTTGGTGGCACACTGTGTGCAGTGTTGATGTCCAGTGTGGGCCTGGCTTCTGACTGGCACGACACACAGAGCCTTGGTCCAGGGCACTGCCTAAGCCTCTGCACCACCCAAGCTCCCTAAGGGGCTGATGTGGGACCTTGGTTCTCTTTGCTCCACCCTCTGGCATTAATTTTAATGAACATTTACAGAGATTTTGGATTTCCATTCATTCATTGTTGCACTTTTCTCCCTGCCCAGCCCTGGCCCCCAGTTCACTCCTCTCTTTGAAAAGTAAAAGAAAAATTCTTTCATTGGTATACAATGCCCCCGTTTCCCTCCCCCACCCCCACTGCCCTGAGTACACTCCACTATGCAACCTTAATTCTGTACTCTTGTGATAACCATAATACCCTATGATATACTGCTTTTAAATTGTTCTCTCCTTCATCTGTTTCAATGCGGTATACATAATTTATCCAGTTTTTCTCAGTCTTCCCCCAACCCTGATGTCAGTCCTGTTTTACAACAGTGGCATCATGCAGTATTTGTCCTTTTGTGACTGAGATCCTTCACTCAGCATAATGTCCTCCAGGGTCACCCATTTTTAATAAGTTCCTTGTTTTTGAATGCAGCGTGGTATTCCATTGTGTGAATATACCACAGCTTCTCTATCCATTTGTTTGTTGATGGGCACTTGGGTTGTTTCCAACTTCTTGCGATTGTGAACAAAGCCACAGTAAACATGGGTGTGCACATATCTACTTGGATGTCGGTTATGGTCTCTTTAGGGTTTATTTCCAGTAGTGGAATTGCTGGGTCAAATGGTATCTCTTTTTGCAACTTTTTGAGAAAGCACCACACCATTTTCCACAGTGATTGCACCATTTTACACTTCCACCAACAGTGAATAAGGGTTCCAGTTTCTCCACAACCTCGCCAGCATTTGTTGCTTGATGTTCTGTTAAATTTTGCTATTCTTACTGGGGTGAGATGATATCTTATACTTGTTTTAATTTGCATCTCTCTTAGAGCTAGGGATTTTGAACATTTCTTCATGTGCTTGTTGGCCATCTGAATGTCGTCTTCGGTGAAGTTCCTGTTCATATCCTGTGCCCATTTTTCTATTGGATTCTTTACCTTTATCTTGTTGTGGTTCTGGCATCCTTTTGTGGGAGTCTCTGGTCACTGGCACGCTGGGAGGAAGTCCGTTTGAAGTAGCTGTCCAGCTTGTCATCGTTCTCCTGTTTGAAACTTCAAGCCCACTCACTTCCCCCCGAAAAACACCCTACGACTTCTCCACTCATCCTCCAAGTCCCCCAAAAGGCCTCAGCTAGAGGGGGCTCTCTGTGAGCACCTCTTAGTGGACAAGATACTCCCACCTCTGGATAGGTCAAGTCTGGCTGGGGGGATGGACCGGGGTGACATCTAGGGACCCTTCACCCCTCTAGCCCAGGTGCCTTTCTTCTGGGAAACCCTCCAGGGGCTCTGGAAACTCTCCGGAGCACCCCTACCCTGAGGTAGCAGAGGCGCTCCAGCGGCTCCAAGCAGGTGCTCTTTCTTTTTCTTCCTTTTACAGAAGTCATATCAGGCCTGACCACCTGGAACACCTATGGGCTGTCCCATGAGGATGGTGGGACGCAGGCAGCAGCCATTGCCAGGGTGGGAACGGGGCTTTTGTGGAAAAGCAGCCCCAAGCAGCTGCTGTCAGAACTAGTATACATGAGGGGCACACCTGGAGGGCTTGCCAAAGGATACCTGGAGAGAATACCTGAGGGGTCCACCGGGAGGGCACACGTGGGGCACTTGTACCCCTGGAGGGCACACCTGGAGCACTTGCACACCTGGAGGGCACACCTGGTGTGCACCTGAGGAGTGTTCCAGCAAACTGTAAGCACAACCAAGGGGCTCAGTAATTCCTAGCAGTCAGCCATCACTGTGCTGACCATCAGGCCACATTATGATGACGTCCTATGTCCCTGTCCTCCCACCCCTTCTCTCCTGCCCCTGAGGAGCCATCTCCTGAGCTCCGTCCTTGGCAGCAAGCATCCTGCTCAGCATCATCAGCTCCTCACTGCAGCAGGAAGCCTCCAGCCCTTCCCTCAAGTGTCTTTTTCAGAGGGCCCCTTTATGTTCATGGCTGGCAGCAGCACTAACTCCTCCAGCTCCCCTAGTCCTTCCTGCAGGTCTGGGGTGTGGCTAGCTCCCAGAGTGGATGCTGAGCACTCACACCTCAGGTAGATTAGAGGGCTTCAGGCAGTGCCGACGTGCCTGGCTGTTTGCTGAGGTTTTCCTGAGGCTGCAGGTTCGCCCGGCACTAGACCAGAATTAGTGCACGCCTGGCAGCGTGGGAAGGGCCTGGCTGCATGTGAGTGCCCCTCCCCTGCAGGCCTGGGTAGGAGCACGGAAGGGATCACCTTCTGCCCTGCAGAACCTCCAGGCTCAAGATCCCTGGCTGTTCTCACACCCCTATTTCCTCCAGGTTCTTGAGGCCCTGGACACCCTCCCCTGCTGAGGCATGCAAAGCTAGAAGGGTTCACTGACACACTCAGGGCCCAGCTCCCACGTGCAAGCCTTGAGCTGAGCTGTGTCCTCTTGGGCTCACAGGGTGACCCTGAGCTTGGCATCTCCCCCTCCACCCTCCGGCTGCTCAGAGAGTGGAGGAGAAAGGACAGTCCCTGGAGAGGCACTCAATGGGTTCCAGCCCGGCTGGTGGACATGGCACAGCAGTCAGGGCACAGTGAAGATACTGCTTCTTTGGTGGTTGTGTTGGCCTTTAGTCCAGCCATGTCCTCCTAATTATGCCCCTAATACCTTCCTCGACCAAAGACGGGACCTCAGGGCCCACTCTCAGTGGACTGCAGACCCCTGTCCCAGCCTTCTCTGAATGTGACCACACTGCCCCTTCCCCACAGACACAACCGGTGCCCAACCCTGCGGCCTACTACCTGCACCGATCTCCGTGGTGGATCCACCGCACGGAGACACTCGGCAACCATGTCATTGAGCTCGTGGTGCCCTTCTTCCTCCTCCTGGGACGGCGCATGTGCCTGCTGCACGGTATCCTGCAGATCCTCTTCCAGGTGAGCTGCTGTCCCCGCTGTTCTTGTCCCCACTGTTCTGTGTGCCTGATCATCTGCCCTTCACCTTCCAGGTGAGCCCCTGTCCTTGCTGTCCACACTGTCCCTCTGATGTCCCCTCGCCCCTATGCTGTTCTGCTGTCTCCTTACCGTCCCCATGCTGCCCCTTGCTTCTCTCACTGTCCCTCCTGTCCCTCTCTGTCCCTGTGTGTCTGGGGCCCTAGCTATCGGGCATGTGTGGAAAGGGCCTGACAAGCTAGCCTTGCCTTTGGAAGTCCCACCAAGTTGTGAGGTCCAGTCCCAAAATCTGAGAGGCCTGGGCTTCCTTCTTGTGGAAGAAGCCACTCAGCTGGGCCACGTGTTACTCATGGTCTGAGATGGATCTGTGTCTCCACACCCTCACGTAATATGGACCGTGGCTCTCCTCTGCTTTCCCTGCGAATCCTATGATCCAATTGTCAGTTTCCAAGGGAGCATCCTTGTGGGGGCTCTAACAAATTGAATTGCATTCCTCCAGATATGTTGTAAATCCTAATCTCAATGTAATGCATTAGGCAAATAAGCTGCCAAGGATATCTTTAGAGTGTTAAAGAGCAAGGATGTCACTTTGAGGACTAAGGTGAGCCTGCATACAGCTCACCTTGGTATTTTCAATCCCCTCATATACATTGTCAACCTTGCTTGCCCCAGGGTTTAATTGTAGTTATAGCATGTCAACCTTGCTTGCTGAAACTGAGGAGAAGTTGAAGCACTTGTTGCAGGAGATTAAAGACTATAGCTTTCAATATGGATTGCATCTCAATGTCAAGGAAACAAAAATTCTCCCTACTGGACCAATAGGCAGCATCATGATGTTGTTGTTGATTGTCTTCAAGTTGAGCATGACTCTAGTGGCCCTATGAACAAAAGGCTTGAAGCCTTTCTATAACTATTGTTGTTTCTCCAAGTTCATAGAGTTTCCAGAGGCATGTGGTTCAGGAAGTGGATGCCACTTCTGCTTCCAAACTTGAATCAGTCTGGGAACTCCACCAAACACTGCCCACGATGGATAGCCATTATGGTGTTTGGCACACGTATGGCACAGTTGTTCCATAATGGCATTTTAGACCAATAAATAAAACAAATAATATATATAGTATGTAATAATAAAAAAGAAAAAAATAGAAACAAAACATAAGCAGACTTACTAGATCACCTGCCAGCAGAGTACGGTATTGATCAAAAACTTGTTTAGAGATGTTGTCGCTAACAGGTAAGGATCTGAAGATCTCATTGGAAGACAATGGTATGTGGAGAAAAGATTGAAATGCTTAACAGCTTCATTTTGCTTAGATCTGCAATCAACTCTCTTTATATATATACCAGAAGTCAGGAGATCAGGAGCCATATTGCACTGGGAAAGTCTGTAGTCAGAAACCTCTCCAAATTATTGGGGAGCAATGATGTCAGTTTAAAGACTAGGGTGCATCTGATTTGGGTCATCGTCTTTTCAGTCACCTGCTATCTATCTGAGAGCTGCACAGTGAATAAGGATAACAGGAAGAATTGATGCTTTTGAGCTGTGGCATTGGAGAACAGTACTAAATATCCCATGGATTTCCAAAAACAAATAAGTCCTAGAGAAAATACAGCCAGAGTACTCCTTGGAGGCAAAGATGATAAAGCTTTGTCTCACATGCTTCAGTCATACTGGTTGTTGTTGTTGTTGTTGTTTACCACGGAGTCAAAACTGACCCATAGCTGATCCTCTGGCAGGGTTTTAGAGGCAGTTAATTGCACAGGAGGTGTTTACCTTTCCTTCTCCTGCAGAACAGTTGGTGGCCTCAAACCATATGCCTTCAGGATTGCAGTGCAGCTTCTTGCCACTAGGCCACTGAGGAGAGGCTATTTCTGGGAGAGGGACATCTTGCTTAGAAAGGTGGAGGAGGGTCAGCAAAAATATTCAATGCAGTGGCCCCTAACAACATATGCACGTGAAAGCTGGACAATGAATAAGGAAAGTAAAAACCCTGATGCCTTTGCACTGTGGAGTTGGTGAAGAATATTAGATATACTGTGGGCGTGATGCTTGGAAATGTGGAGGGTTAGCAAAGGAAAGGAAGACCCTCGACCAGGCGCATTGACACGATAGCGGCTACAATGGGCTCTGGTGTGTCAGGAAGTGTGAGAAAGGTGCAGGATAGGAGAGTGTGTTGTTCCCAGGGTCACTGTGGGTCATACTCCACTGGGCAGCACCTAAAAACAATGTGAACTGCAGTAAATGGAAATTCTGTGTTGAAAGCAGTGTGGCCAGGATGGTGAGACTGTGTCTCTCGTGCTCTGGGCATGCTGTCAAGGAGAGGCCAGCCCCGGAGAAGGACATCATGCAGTAAAGTGGAGGTCAGTAAACGAGAAGACCCTCAAGGAGATGGGCCGGCCCAGTGACTGCAGAGGTGGGCTCACCCAAGCAGGCATTGTAAGGCTGGCGCAGGGTGGACAGTGTTTTGTCCTGCTGTATGTAGGCTCACAGTGAGCCAGAGCGGACTCCATGACACTGATCAGCAGCCTAGAAGCTCCAGGTGAGCACCCTTCTGGTGGTTAAAGCTCTCAGCACGTGGGTGTCTTTGTTGCAGCAGCACTGGAGAACTGAGGTGTGGGTCCGGGAAGCCGCTGTATGGTGAAGCCATGCCCCTCCCTGGGTTCCTTCCTGGATTGTCAAGGCAACAGGTGTGCCAGCCCCTGCCACGCCAGTGTCCGGGGCAGTGCTAGGGCCAAAGGGCTCAGAGGCTGGGTCTCAGCCGGGACCCACGTGAGGACTGGCCAGAAAGAATCGAGTAATCCAAACTCAGATCAGCCCTGCACCCAAAGCAATGCTTCAAGGCCAAGGTCGCACCAGAAGAGAGTTTGCATCTCTTTGTTCGCAGCATCTGGTTCTTCTGTGAAAAGTCACCATGGCCACAACAACAGCAATAAGCTACCCACTGCCATAAAATCCACTCCAGCTCACAGGTACCCTGCATATTGGAGCAGAGCTGGCCCATAGGATTTCCAAAGCATTAAATCTTTATGGGAGCAGGCAGCCTTATTTCTCTCTGGTGGGTTTTGAACTGCCCACCTTTGAGTTTGCAGTGGAACACTTTAACCACTGCATCACCAAGGCTTCAAGGACCACATTTAAATCCTGGGGCTTCAGGAAAGGGCGGCTGATAGACTAAGATCAAGCTGGAGACCAGGCTGGAGCAGTGCAAAAGCCACCCCCACCAGGGGCACACCCAGCCTGTGGGTGGTCCCCATGGCCCCCACCAGCATGTGTGTGTCCTCAGTGGCTGGGCAGGGGACCAGGACGCACCTCCTTCCTTTTTAGGGTCATGCAGCATCGGCCCCAAACATCTGCCTAAGTCCTCCAGGCCCCTCAGTTCCGCCCTCTGAGTTCATCTTCCTCTGCTGTCTCCCAGGGGGCTGCACAGGCTTAGTCAGGCCCATTGGCCACAGATGGAGCAAGTGACCATAGATGGAGTGGGTCGGTCAGGTCCCTGGGGGCGTTCTCAGTAAGGCCGAGAAGGAGGGAGGAAGCCTGGGCCCCGGGAGCGCAGGCTGCACCCCCTCTGGCTCCCTGCCCTCCTCAGGGAAAGACGTAGGATGTAGCTGCAGGGCAGGGCAGTGAACCTCCACGTCTTGACCACGGGAGCGATATTTCCTGATCACGGGGGCTCCTGTAGTCTCACTGTCCCCTTCTGTGGAGTTGATTCTGACTCCTAATGCCCTGGTGGGACCTAACAGAACTGCCCCCTGAGGTTTCCAAGGCTGTAATCTTTGCTGCCTCGTCACTCTCCAGAGAAGCAGCTGGTGGATTCAAACTGAAGACTGTTAGGTTAACAGCTGAGCACTATGACCACTGCCCCTAGAGCTCCCTTTACATCCCAGTAGAGACTTTTAGGACAGGCTCTGTGCCAGGCAAAGAATCCTGTTCCCACTCCCTGGTGTGTGTGAGGTGAAGTAACTGCGCACCACTGGCTGAGACGTGTGCCAAGTGTCCTTGTCTGTCTCCTTCACTCTCCACAGCTCCATGCCCCTCTATGCCTCTGTGGCCCCTGCCCCTCTCTACAGTATGTTCTCTGCAGCTCCGTAACCCTCTCTCCCGCTCTGTACTCTTCTCTCCAGATCTGTGCCCCTCTCTCCAGCTCCATGCCCTCAATCCAACGCCATACCCCTCTCCCCAGCTCTGTACCCCTCTCTCCAGCTCCGTGTCCTCTCTCCAGCTCTCTGCTCTCTGTGACCCCTGTACCTGTCTATGCTTAAACTCTGTCCTTTTGTCGCTTATTTACTTTCTGCTTGCTGGACTTTCCAGCTGGTCCAGTTTCTGGCACTTGGGAATAATACTTCTGGGAACATTCACATACAAATATTTTTTAAAAATATTTGTGATTAAAATGTAAGTTAACAGAGCAAATTAATATCCCATTCAACAATTCTTACATATCTTAATTCATGCCACTGATTGCAATCTCCACAGTGTTACAGGATCCTTCCTTTTTCCTCCCTGCATTTCCCATTTCCATTCATCCTTTTCCCTATGCTTCCCATTCCCATCCATCCATTAAGTCAAAAGTGTATGTAAATCTCAGCAGTTAGGTACTGGTGAGGGCTAATGTGTGCATTAATATACTTAATTATATTCTTAATATTAACTAAGATACACTTCTCCATGCCTTGAAAAAGTAATGGAGCACTCATGTCCAAATACATGAAAACATCTTTAATGTAACAAACATAATGATGTTTTTGTGTATCAGAAAGCTTGCACCTTGAATACTTAATATACCAGACCTTGTTATACTTCCCTTTGCTTAATTTGACTTTGCTGATATTGCTACTTTTAATGGTCTGAAGGTTTGAGCTCACTGGCATCATTGTTTCCAACATCATGTGCTCACTTCATGCCTCTGTATCTCATTCTTTTGTCCTCTCAGTATTTCAGATTTTTTCCTCATGCTTTTGCATAGTTAGTCAACTACAGTATGTTGTTAAGTGCCGTCGAGACGCATGCAACTCATAGCGACCCTATGAAGGAGAGTCCTCAACGCTTGGGTGCCTTTCATCCTCTCTCCAGGTTCATAGGGTTTCAGGAGGCAAGCTATTACAGAAATGGATGCCACTCCTCCTTCCAAGCTTGTTTTAATCGGGGAGCTTCACCCCACTCTGTCCGCATTGGGTAACCAACTATTAACGCATTTGACACATCAGTGTCACAGTGTTCAGCCTCACAGCAACCACAAGTGACCGCTGTACGACAACTTGTACATCAGGGCTATATGACCTAGAGGAATGTCTGAACAAAAACAATGAAAGACAGGCCCGAGGGCAGCGGATTATAAGTCACCCACCTTCGGCTTGGTAGCATCGTTTTCTGTCCACTGGGCCAGCTGATCTCTCTCTCTCTGTTGATGTTATTGTTGTTAAGTGCCATCGAGTCGCAGGTGACTCATAGTGACCCGATGAAGGAGAGTCCTCAACACTTGGGTGTCTTTCAAAGCTATTATGGAAGTGGGTGCTGTTCCTGCTTCCCAACTGCAGTATAGTGTAAACTTTTTATCTTCATGAGGAAACCAGAGAATGGCTGTGGCCGCCTTTTCTTGAGATACTTGCTTTATTGTGGTCTGGAACCAAATGTGAAATATCTGCCGGGTCTGCCAGTAACAGCTTTTTGTGTTGTTATTTTTAAATAAAATTTTATTTTAATTGTGATTTTAACAAACATTTACAGTTGTTGTTGTTGTTGTTATGTGCCGTCGAGTCGCCTGCGACTCATAGCGACCCTATGTACAACAGCCCTAAACTCCGCTCTGTCCTGTGCCAATTGCA